GAGGGGGGCGGCGCGGGGTGGGGGCCGCTGCCCGGGGGTGCCGGTCCCCCCGGGCCGGGATGAGCGCGGCTGAGCCGTGTGCCTGCCGGGCAGCGGGCAGGGCTGCTTGCATCAGCGGGGAGAGCATCTCGGCCGAAAGCACCCGTGCGCCCGCCCGGGCCCGGGGGGGGGATGCGCCCGGGGGGGTGCTGGGCCTCGATGCTGAGCCCCGCTGTCCGTCGTGCGGAGCAGCCTCCCGCGCTCTGTCCCGACTCGGCCCCTCAGCTCTCGCGATGGGCGCGCTGGGGCGACGGGGGCGGGGGTACCCGGATTCCCAGTGGAAAGGGAGCTGAACTGGTCGAGAGGTTTGAAGTTTCGGTGCTAGGGCTGCCCATCCCGGCTGAGGGGTCTGGGGCGGCCAGCCGCCAGGAGCTCCTGGCCTCCCGCTCACCGCGGCAGCCACGCCGGTCCCCGGCTGGCTCTCGGCTGGCTCCAGGGCTAGTTGGGAGAGGAGATGTTGGGAGGATACAGGCTGGAGAGACATCTGCTCTCTTGGCGTGGGGAGGAGAAAGCCAAGTCCCGGCGCTGGTGCTGATACTCGTTTCCCTGCCAGTGGGGAAGCTGCTTATTTTCCTGTTTCTGTGTTGCCGGTGAATACGGCTCCATCCTGCGGCTCTCCCTCCGCATGCTGATCCCTGCCTGCGCAGCGAGCAGGGCTGGCTCACTGCCTGCCCCCAGGAGAAGGAATCCGTGCCCACAGGCTCACCCAGCTCTACCCCAAAAGGAGCCGTGAACACCAACACAGTAGTGATACCGCAGGCAGAGTGGAAACCAGGGAGAGTGAGAGACGGCAAACGCCCGGCTGGCGCTGAGAGGGGTTTTCTGAGAGCGCGCAGATAGACAACCAGAGCCGATGGTTCATAACACAACACCAAAGCGGCAGATTTACAGGCCCTAGAGGAGGAAACCAGAAGATCAGTGGGTTTGCCAAAACCAACTTGATAGCCACAATGGGAGTAAAGGCATTTTCTGCAGAGAGAGACAAATGGCTTGAGGTGCTCGAGGGCAGGCTGTCGGGGAGAGGGAGGCTTGGACAACTTTCAGGGAGAGGGGATTTCTCTCTGCCACGCTTACAAGTCCTCACCAAGGACTTGGTTTCCAGGAAGGGTCTCAGAACAAAGTCCCTGTGAACGCTGTGCGAGAGGGACTTGGCAGCCTCTCACCAGACCCTTGACAGCAGCTGTTGGGACTCCTGGGATGGAGCAGAGCACAGGATTTGTGTAGAAAGCAAGGTCAGGTATTTAGGGCCATCATTTGCAGGCATTAGCAGGCCTCAGGGGAAACAAAATGCACAGGGAATAGTATGTAGAGGAGCAGCCAGCTGGGTGGCTGGAACATGTCAGCTGTACACCAGCGCGGTTTGGAGCAGAGCCGCACTCGTGCCGCCTCCTGCGTTTCTGGAGTGCCCTTTCCCATGGCTGCTAAAAGCTCCTGCTGCAGACAGACGGACAGACGTTTCCCCCCTGCCTGCAGGGCATCAGCTCTGCAAGTCAGCTGGCTGTCACGGGAGGAAAGAAAATAGCACCTGCATTACTAGGTCATGTTCAAGGAGCTGCAGGCATGGAAGAATGGCTTTAACTCCTGCTTCTTGCCGGCAGCTGGCTCTTAATTGAAGCAGTCTGGCTGGCACGGGAAGACTGCACCATCCGGCAAGGGTGCTGTGGCAGTGCTGTGCTCCAGGCCAGGGAGCTGGTGCTGCTCCAGGCAGTGTGTCGCACTGGTGTTGCTGCTCTTTTCCCCCATTCCCAGCAATGCCCAGAGAATCCTTCCTGAGCCCTAGGAAGGTCTGAAGATAAGGAGGAATTTAGCCCAGCAAAGGGGGGCTGCACTGTGTGTGCAAGCCTAAGGTCGAGGCCAGACACGCTGGGTACCACAGAGCAGGAGATGCTACTGATGGCAGGAGGGGGAGATGGGTCCCCTTCTGGGATGTGTGAGGGATAAAAGCCGAGTGTGCTACACTCTTAGGGGAAACCCGAGGTCCTGGGGGCCTGAAGGGCAGGGCTGCTCGGCACAGGAGGCAGGACTTACCTTGAGAGCAGGTCTGAGTTGCCTGAGGTTGCTCTTCCAGGAACAAGGAAGTGGCTGATGATGCTCCAGCTCTGCTCGATGAGCAAGGTGGGCTTCCTCTAATGCGCGCTGCGCAAGTGTGCAGACATATGGCCAGCAACCTCCCAAGTGAGCCAGAGCTGCGCGGGCTGGGGAGACGCAGGCATGACCCCATGATGTTCCTTAGTCATGCTGCTTGGTGCAACAAGTGGCTGTGTCTGGGGCAGCGATGAGTGAGCTGTGAAAACCCCTCTAGAGGGGATGGGGCTGATGGCACTGGAGAAGGGGAGCTGTTCCGTTCAAGGGGCACAGTCTGTTCTTCTCTAGCATCTTCGTGCCTGGGCTCCCCCAGCCAGGCTCCACAGGTAGGGTTCGAGGTGGCTGTTCCCAGCACACTGAGGAAGGATGTTTGTCCCCTCCTTCAACTCTCTGGGAAATCTGTGCCAGCAGATGAGTCGCTGGCTGGTGGTGGCAGGCTGAGGCTGCCCAGGCAGGATGTCTGGTGGGATCCCAACAGCAGGCAGCTTGTGCTGCTTCCCACAGGCCAGCGGGGGGTTGTGTCCGTGCTCCCAGGCTTTCGGAAGCCCCTGCAGAACAGCAGGAGGAAGGTTCCACCTCATTTCACAGTGCTGGATCTCCACCTTCACCCTCCTTGCGCCCCCCACTGCACTTGCAGGTCCCTCGGACCCCATGTTCCGGGCTGCACCAGCTGTCTGGGCTGCATCCTGCAGGTAGGTTGGGCAGGGGCTGCTGGAGCTCAGCTGGGCTCAGGTGACAAGCCTGCCGGGAAGAACCTCAGGCCTGGGGCCACAGGGCAGCCCCTTTGGAGGACTTGAGTGGCTGGAAAAAATCTCCTTGAAAAGGCTCTTTTCAGCTTCTGAAGAATATGAGTCATGCACGGGTTGAACAATCCCCTTCCTTCCCCTCTTCTCCCACACACCCAAAATCCCCTGAGTGGGACCCGCAGCAACCACTGATTCAGAAATTCAGGGTATGAGGGCACTGCGGAGTCAGATACAGGGTTTTTTTTTCTTTTTTTTTCTTTCCATTGCTTAGCGAGGAGAAGAAATGTGGAGCAAGAGAGTGTGCCCGGAGGCTCTGCTCTGATCCTGCCCCTTTGCTAGAAGTCTCTGGTGGTTTCCCGTGGTCAGGCAGACCTTGACCCCAGTGGGACCTCTATCTGTGGTAACCGGCAGTCCCCGCGGTGATGCTGGGGCTGGATGGGTTGCTGAGACCAGCCTCTTCCTCCCCGGTGAGTAGGAGGGTGCAAGCGCTGTGGGTGGCGGGGAAGGGGCCCTGCTGCTGGCAGTTCCTTGCTGGGGTTGGTGGGGAGCATGCAGCGCTGGGTGCTGGGATGGCGGGAGATGCTCCCGCATGGGTCTCTGGGGCTGCTGCTCCCGCTTTGAAACCAGATGCTTTCTAGCGGGAAAGAGGCAATGGGAACACAGATGACAAATGCCTCTCTCAGACCACCTTTGTGGGAAGGATGCAGGGCTTGCCGTGTAAGTGGAAACTGGGGGAGTGGGAAAGCACCCCTTTGGGTGCCTGGCAAAGGGCTGCCGCGCACTGACTTTGGTCTGCAGAGTCTGGAGAGCTTCCCCCGGCCAGGGGGCAGACAGCGGGCTTTGGGGCAGCTGCTCCTGTTTGGGTCCAGGGGGGCTTGGAGGAGACATCCCTGTGCGGGAGGTGCCTCACCAAGGTGAGAAGATGGGGGCTGGGGACCTGGGAGGCCCCAGGGGCCGCTGCTGGGTTTTGTGGCCCGGTCCGGGTGGTTCCGGCCACGCTGCGCTGCAGGTCTGGCTGGGAAAGGGCTCGACGGCTGGTCAACGGGGACTGGCGCCCAAAGCAGGGCGGGTGGCCGGGGACGGCGGGGGGCAAACCCCTCCGTGCTCCCGGGGGGGAAACTCGGGACCTTCGGGCGCTCCGGAGGTGCCAGGCAGCGGCCAACGGAGAGGGCCCGGGGGGGGGGGGGGAGGCGGGCGGCCGCCGGGTTTTCCAGTCCGCCCGAAGCCCAAAACTCCCAGGCGGCGGGGAGCCGGCCCATCCCACCGCCCCCGGGCCGGGCCGGGCCGG